AATATCTTATTTTTATATATCCAACTGTATTACAGTTACTATAGTAAGGCGGTATCCGGTAGTAAGACTGTTTCTTACCCGCAGCTGTTTTTACCAGCTAAATACTACTTATTTTATTAGTCTTGTAAGCCTGTATAAATATATTTATAGTCTTGCTAATAGTAAGACTGTTAAGACCTGCTATTTAGCAATATAATTTTTTCTTTTTAGTATTTTACTTTTTTAATCCAGCTTAGAGTGGCTAACGGCCAGGTCAGGTCAGGTTAATTGGAATTTTTATACCTGACCGCCAGGTTATGGCCAGGTTAAGAAAATTTTTATACCTGACCGCGGTATAGCTAAAAAAGAGATAGTTAACTGTCTTAACTATTTTTAGTACTAAAACCTATCTGCTATATCTATTTAAGCTCTAGTACGGTTAAGATATATCTAGATTAAGTAATTATTAATCTAACCATCTTAACCGTTGTCTAAAAGTATATAGAAATAAGCTTTTAAAATTAGAAAAAAATAACTAAAAGAAGTATTAGTATCTTCTTTATCTCTATTTTAAAAAATTAATCAAAGATTTCTGATAGTATTAACAAAATTCAGTTTTTTATAAAATTATAGTTCTTATAGTAAAAAATATATATAAAAATATATAATTACAGCTCGGTTTAAGCCGTATATCTTAATTATAATATATAATATCAGAAAAACTATATATTTACTAATAATCAGACTATTAAAAATAAATATACTGTTTTTATTCTACTATTCTTCTTTTTATTTTAGCTTAGATAGTCTATTATATTTTTATTTCTATCTAAAAGAGCTGAATTATCTGTATAATAGATTAAACTTAAAAAGAAATCTATATAATATTATTTATATAGTCTTTTTCAACAACTGTATTTTCTAATAATTATTTTATTAAATACCAGATATTATAAGAGTAGTTTATTATTTTTATTTTTTTAACTTAGTTAATCTTTTTTATTTTTTTTATCCAGTTAATTTTTTTAATTTATTTAATCTTTTTAACTCTAAGTATTCCAGAAATCTGTTATTAACTATACTAATTTTATTTTATTTATTTAATTTAACTGACTTTCCCGCGTAATAATAATATATATTCCGAAGTCTTTCTGTATTTTCCTTCTTTTTTTTTTCTTTTTTTATACTTAAAATTCTTATATCTTAGTATTAAATAGATTAGTTTTTAATTATTTAAACAGTTTTTACAGATACTATATCTTTTATAGAAGGCTTTATATAAGTCTTTTTTAGATCTTTTTTATAAATATTAAAATAATCTAACTAACCTGACTAATCTGACCGACTAAAATAAATAAGATACGGCAGGCGTTTTAGCTGTATTTAAAATATAATAAATTATATTTATATAAAAGTATATTTTAAAGTAAAACAAACTATTTTTATAGAATTTTTTACTTTTTTTTTTCTATATCTATTATTTATAGAGTAGTCTTAAAATTATAAGTTAATTACAGTTATCTGGTTTATTTTTAAAAAATATTATTAAATCCTCTTTTTTTGTTTTTTAAATATTTATAAACTATAATAATATTTAAACTAAGATAAGCTTTTTAAGTCAGATTTTTTTTTTCTTAAATCTTCAGATTACGCGCGTCGCAAAGAATCGGAAGATTATTTTATATCTAACTTATAAAAAAAAATACTCTACTTTCTAGAATTAATAGCAGAAGATAATTTTTTTTAAAGTTTGTATATAAGCTTAAAAACTGCTATTTTACTTTAGTCGGAAGAAGATATTAATAATATAAAACAGCTTTTAAAAAGATATATTATTTTTTAATAAAACTCTTTATATCTACTATATTACCTGTCTTTATATCCTGTAATACTCGGGAATTAAAAACTTAAAAACTAGTTTTATAAGCTACTATCTTTATAAAAATTATAAGAAAAAAATACTATTAGTAGTATCTAAGCAAACAATTAATTAAATATTAAGTAAAAAGCTATTATAGGTATTTATTTATTCTTTTAATATAAATCTTTTCTAATTATGATTTTTTCTAGGCCTCTACAGCCTATAATAAACAGAACTTTTAGAATTAAGTTTTATATTTTATAATTATCTATTGCTTATTATTCCGAACTGTCGAGTATATTTAATTTAAATAAATAATTAATCTTGCAGCTTTATCTTTCTGCTGAAAACCAAGTTCTTTTAATTAAATACAGATTAAAAAACGTCTTTTAGAATTATTAAAAAATATATATATACAGCTGTTATTAAAGTTCTTAAATATTAGAAAAATATAAGTTGCAGTAGACTACTGGACTAGTTTTAATCAGAAAATATTTCTTACTTTAACTGGATATTTTTTAATAAAAAATATAAATTATTATAAAGTTCTACTGGGCTTCCGACCGGTATCTAAATCTTATACTAGTAAGAATCTAGCTATAATTATTCTATTAGTTTTATACAAATATAACCTGTTCTATTAGTTATTAGATATAACAACTAATAATACTAATAATAATAGTTTAATATTTAGTATAATTTTATCTAAACTCCGGACTTAGTTCAGCCAAAATATCTAGTTTTATAATACTTTATTTAATCCTAATCTTGTAATAATTATTTAAAGCCAGTATTATATATCCTGTCTTGCTTATATAATTCAGCTTATAGTTAATATTTTTCTATAGAAACTTTAGATTAAAATCTTAAATAGTACTGTTAAATATTTATAAAAGAATTATAATAAAAGTTTTAAAACCTCTTTTGGTATTTCAAAAATTTTTAAAAAAATATATTCTAGAAGTTATTTGTAAAAAACTAATATAAAAAGCTTCTACTATAATAAAAACTATCTAGATTAGTTTTTTATAGACGGGTTTTAAAGATTTTTTTTTAATAATAACTAATAATACTAATTCTTAATTATAGATTCGGAAGATTATATAATTTGTAAATATAAGCTCTTAATACTATAAAAAGTTTTAGCTTATTTAATAACTTAAATCAGACTTAGTCTACTATTTTTTTTTTAACTATAAAACTTGCTGAAACTCAACCTATCTTATAATTCGCCGGATATTTAATTTTTGTTAAGTAATTAACAGTTTTATTTAATACTATAATTATAGTAATATTAATTATTTTTATTCTACTATAATTAAGTAGAAATAGATAGAGTATCTTCTTAAGTTTTTATACTTCTTTTTTTTTTTATATTATATTTATCTAAAAATAGTAGATCTACTATTTATAAGATCTATAATATCTATAATAATTTTTTCGATTATTTAAATCACTTAATTAACTAACTGATAAAAAAGCGGATATTCTAAAAAAAAAAGATTTTTAAAGACTTGCAGAATATATATTAAAAGCTTTAAAAATATTATTATTATATTTATTAAATAAAAGACTATATCTATATAATTATAACTATTCTAAACCTAATATTAAAGCTTAAAAAGTTTAAAAAGAATATCTGACTAAATAATAATACTAACTAGTATCTTAAGTACCGAACTATTTTTAAAAAAATATTCTATTTTTATTGCAGTTAGAATCCGGCTATTAATATACTATTAACTATTTCCGGGTTACTATTAGGCCTAAATAAAGCTTTTTATAATATTTCTAAATATTAAAAATTCTTACCGGCAGCCGAGATATTTAAAAAACTTAAAATATATTTAAATATCGAAGATATATAGCTTATTAAAATATTTTTAATTAAACTAATATTATTCTAGATATTATAAAATATACTAATATTCTTATTTACTGAAAATCCTGCTGTAATTAGTTTTCTATTTTTTATTAAATAGCTAAAGATTTTCTTTCAGTTGCTATTAATAGTATTAATATTAAATATCTATTTAATAGTTCTTAAAATATCTGCTACTATCGCCGGAACTGTCTTTATTCTAATATAATTAAAGCAGTAATACTTTAGATATATACTAATTATTTTACTATTAGTAAGAAGTACCAGAATATTCTTAATAATCTTAATTTAGATTCGATTATTTTTATATCTAAGAAGTAAGAAAAGAATAAGATAATTATTATCTTTTATATTAGTAAAAATAAAAATATAAATAATCTTAAAGATAATCTAGAAGATGGATTATTATTAGAAATAAAAAAGCTAGCTTTATCTAAATCTTCGAATATTATATATATTTAGATAGAGATAGAGACCCGGTTTTTTTAATTTCTTTGCTATTATAATTATTATTTTAAATAGTATAAAGAGTAGTATAATCTTATCAGTTTATTTAATATCAAATTTTATATTTCTTATACTAGATTCTATAAATATCTTTTTTAAAGTACAGTATACCTCTTGGGATTATAAAAAAAAAGATTAAGCAGATCAAACAGATTAAATAAATTAAATAAATTAAATAAATTAAATAAATTAAATAGATTAAATAGATTAAACAGATTAAATAGATTAAATAGGTCAAACAGATCGAGTAGATAAACTAAATCTAAATAATATTACTATACTATAATTAAAAGTATATTATACTTTGTATATTATCTATATAAGAAAAATATATATATTACTAATTAATCTGCGGTTATTAATCTACTTATTATATCTAACCTTTCTAACCGGCAGGTATAAACAGTTAAAATAATAGTTATATCTTAACCTAACCGTAACTGTATGGTTAAAATTTTTTTGTATCTTAATCTGACCGCCAGATTATGGTCAGATTAAGGTTAAGGTATAACGGTCAGGTTAATCCACTCTAATCCAGCTTATAGTTTGTTAACTTTTTCTTTAAGTAAAACAGTTCGATTAAAAACGATCTTATAGTTTTTTATAATATAGTTTAAGACTACTTTTATCTGTAAAAACAGACTAATTATATATTTATAAAGCAGCCTTTTAATTATAGTTTTATATTTTTTTAATTGTTTTGTATTTTTAGGTGTTTTTAGTAGTATTAATATACTAGTTATACTGCTTGTTAAAATAGCCTTTCGTAGTTATAAAACAAGCTGGCTAAGCATCTCGTCCGGCTGGAATAATACTAATTCTAAAGTCTTAAAAATATTTTATATTATTAATTTCTTAAAAATAAGACAATATGCCTCTAGATATATATTTAAAAAATCAATCTTATTAATATAATAAATATTTTAGTAAGTTAGCTGTTCTACTAAGCCGCTGTAGACTTGTTCCAATAGTATAAAGCAAGCTATATTAAGCGGCTAACAGAAATACAAAGAATGCAGAGGTATACAGATAGAAATAATACTATTTTAACTATAGATATTATTAAATTCCGGAGTTAAATAGAAGTTATATTTGTTAAGAATTAAAAGGCTATATTACCCAGTCCGCCGGTTCTTAGTAGCCGGAATAAAGTGTTTACAAAGCCAGTATAAACTAATCTTATTTGAAGTCCAGCTATTTGATAATATATTAATACGCTAATTATATAGAATATAGCCTTAAAGCCAGGCCTCGATATAAACCTTTTTTTTAAGAATTATATACGGAGCTAATACAGCACCGGCGGTATTAATATATTTAATTAAAATTATCTATTTGCAGTTACCAGGCTGTATAAAAAACGGCTTGTCTATATAGTTAGATTGTATAATTATATATACTGTAGCTACTATACCTATAGCAAAGCCTGTTTTATTAAAGTTCCAGATATTTTTATTAAAAATATTATATTTTATTTTTACGGCTTTAATCTGAGTAAACTACTTGCTAAAAATCTTTAGATCCTTGTATTTCGCACGCTTATAGTATAATCTTTAAGAGAATCGACTTTTTAAAACTTTATTATAGTTTATAAAGTTGTATATCTATTTCTTATCTACAAAAACTGCGGAATCAGAGTCATGTTTTTAGAAAAGAATATTAGCTATTTTTTAAATATATAACAGCCGGAAATGCATTCTATGCTTTACAAGTAAGAAGATCTACTTCTTTAAAACTTTCTTCTTAAAAACAGTTAATTTATGGCTGTTTGGGCGAGTATTACTGCGAGATTTAACTTCTTTAAAACATATATATAAAATTAAATGTAGAATTTTAAAAACACGCGCTGCTTCGGCTATAAGCGGAATTTTATCTGTCTGAATAGCTTTAATTATAAGATATATTCGGCCTTTCTGTTCTACTAAATATTTTAACGATCGAGGTATTTTTGGTAGAATTATAGGTGGTTAAATAGCTTCATATTCTTGGTGACGCGTGGGAAACGCGCGCGGGTGCCAGCTCGCTTACACTGCCAGCTCGCTTACCGATTACGTTATCGCTCCCGTCTTCTGCAGTCCTCAACCACTACCCCGCGGGATCCTGAGGCAGCCCAGACCAGCAAACCCTTGCCTTGTGACAATATAACAAGATGACTGCGGAAGGGAGCAGCTCTGCCTCCAATGGAGATGAAAGGTAGACATCTCATCCTTAGAGTTTACTTTGCTGGCTCCCTTCGTTCCTGCCTAACCGTCTGTGATGTTCGGTAGCCTCCACAACGACCACCCGGACGACACTAGCCAGACCTCTGATCCTGAATCAAGCCCTCACAGGCTCCTGAAGAAGTCGCAGCCGAGCTCGACTATTTTAGGAGTCTTCTTAAACAGATTGTGACGATTGTCTGCAGTGGAGATCAGGCGCGTATTGCTCACCTGATCTCTATCATTCGTGCCAATCCCTCTGATACGGACATATACGCTCTGCTGAACAATGATCCTGCCATCAATAATGATTCCGACGATGAACAAGACGAAAGCCCTAGGGAAGAGAACAATTAGAGTGACAGCCGAATCATACCTCTTATGAAGTCAATTCGTGTTCGGCAGATTCGTGATAAATTCTATGAGCTATGAGACAGTTTCTTTCCGGTGATACCTGGTTCATTGTAGGATGCACTGATTGGATGAAGAATGGTTGGGTGAATCATTATATCACTTAGAATCTGGTTTAGTCGACCACTGATGGCACAAGTACCTCACGGTTGAGTGTGTGACTCTTCGCACACCACCGCATTGACTGCCCAGGGGCCTTGGCCGACTGCCAGTCTGCCAGCCTGTCACACTATTTAGGAGGGACCAACTAGACACTGGTAACTACACTTTTACTTCCCACCACTGCAACTTTCCCCTCTGGCCGTTCAGGTTCAGTTATCGAGACACTAACCACATCAAAATGTACTTTTATCTACACTTAACCAACAACATTCAAAAATCCTATGCAAGTGCTACGATCTCTTGTTGGCTAGGTATTCGAAGATGCTGATTCGAGTCTTCTGTTCCGACAGCGGATTTTGGAATGCAGAGGATCAATTTCCCACATCAGAGCCGGATAATATGTTAACTATTGTGGATCAAAATATGTCTCGTAGTAGGCTCAGGAAGTCTTATTAAATCCGATAATATGTGATGCCAAGCTTGCTGAGCGGGTGGAGTGAGGTACTGTAATATACTTGGCCAGTATTACGAGTCCGAACGGCCACAGACACATTTGATTTGTGCTTAGAACTGAGCTCTGCTGCCTTCTTGAATATTTTTAGCGCTGTTACGATGTTGCGCGAACGCTGCGGAGCGACGTTCTTGAATCTAAGTATTTACTAATCTGATGAGTTTTATTGTGGAGTATTCGGAGTCTTGAATATATACTACTCTCAAACTTCTGTATAGTACTGCGGAAACATGCTGTATTATATAATCTTCTATTCCCGCAGAATATAGTACTCTTAATAAACCTTGTTATAGATGCTTTATTTATACTTAGCTTAACTATAAGAAAAAATCTTTAGCTTAGATTACTATACTAAGCTCTATAACCAGTAGTCTCTGCTTTTACTAGAATATTTTATTCTATTAGATATATAGAATATAGATTTAGTAGCTATTAATACAACTATCGCGGGAGGTAGAGTGGCTAACGGCCAGGTCAGGTCAGGTTAATTAGAATTTTTATACCTGACCGCCAGATTATAGCTAGATTAAGAAAATTTTTATACCTGACTGTAGTATAGCTAAAAAATAGGCAGTTAACTATCTTAACTATTCTTAATATTAAAATCTTTCTACTATATCTATTTAGGCTCTAGTATGGTTAAGATATATTTAGATTAAATAATTATTAATCTAACTATTTTAATTATTATCTAAAAGTATATAAAAATAAATTTTTTAAATTAGAAAATAATAACTAAAAGAAGTATTAATATCTTTTCTATCTCTATTTAAAAAAATTAATTAAAAAATTCTAGTAGTATTAATAAAATTTAGTTTTTTATAAAACTGTTATTTTTATAGTAAGAAATATATATAAATATATATAATTACAGCTCGGTTTAGACTGTATATTTTAGTTATATTATATAATAACTAAAAAATTATATATTTATTATTAGTTAGACTACTAAAAATAAATATATTATTTTTATTTTATTATTTTTTTTTTACTTTAGTTTAAATAGTCTATTATATTTTTATTTTCTATTTAAAAAAGCTGAATTATCTATATTATAAATTAAATTTAAAGAAAAACCTGCTATTAAGTTATAAGCTGGTAGATACGAATAATAATAAATAAAATAATAAAATAAATAATAAATTAGTAGTATTTTAATAACTTATTTTTTTATTCTTAACTAGCTATTTAGTTAGATTATTTTTAGATTTATAAATAAAATATAGCTTAAAAAGCTATAAAAAGATTTAAAAACAAAAAAATTCTTAAATAAATTTAGAGTTATATAATAAATAGTTAAAAACAGCAGGTTTAGCAGATTAAATAAATTAAATAAATTAAATAAATTAAGCAGATTAAATAGGTCAAGCAGATTAAGCAGATTAAGTAAGTTAAATAAATTAAATAAATTAAATAAATTAAATAAATTAAATAGATTAAACAGATTAAACAGATTAAACAGATAAGTTAAAAAAATTAGAACTATATTATTGTTATACAATACCTACCGCTACAGCAGCCCATATCTACCACTATGACAGCCGCTTCGGGGTCGATACAGATTTGTCGGGATTTTAATCCGGATATCTATATTATTATGTTGTTTACCTCTTCTTTTTGTATAATATATTATTCTGAGATTCTTTAAAAAAGAAGATTTCTTAAGAATTAGTTTTAAAATTAATAAAAAACTATTTTTAACTATTTTACTTATCTTGCCTAACCAGCATGTCTACTGTGTTAAGTAGTTCCTAATAATTTTTAATTCTTCTTACTTTTAGTTATTTAAGAAAAAGTAATATATTATTTAATAAATCTTTGTTAAAATTATCTTAAGGCACTTCGTCTGCTTTTAAATTATATTATCTAATCTAGATAGATATTTAAAAAGTACAAGCTACTATTCACCGATTAGAATAGTTAAAATAATTAAAAAAATAGGTTTAAGTATTATAAACAGAATATAAAGATATCGAATTTTTAATAAAATTATAATAATATTATACTAGCTCGACCTTATCTTCTAAATAAGAAAAAAAAGAAATTAAACTTAAGAAAATCTCTATTTTCTTTCTTCGGTTTAGTTTATAACAGAGAACGGAGTGGATTTGTGATTTATTATATATTTTTAAGAAAGCCCCTCGGAAGTATTAAATAAAAAATTAAAAAATCCTAGCTGTAGTTAGCTATTTAGACTCTATTTATTAGCAGAGATAGTACTAATATATTAATAAAAAATCCCCGGAAGACCGCTAAAATACTAAAAAATCATAGGATTATTTTATCTAATAGACTCTTTTTTTTATTCGAAATACAGCTATTTTATAATTTAATACTATAAAACAGCTTAAACAGGCCCACCAGCGAACTAATTAGAATCTAAAAAAGTTTTATTCTTATCTAAATATTTTAAAGTATTACTTTAAATCTAAATAAAATAATAAATATATATTAATCTTCTTTTTAAAGCTGGCACCGAAACTCAGTTGATATATTTATAAATATATATTAAAACTACCGGATTTATAAAAGAAAATAGTATCTATTATCACCTATTATTAAAATATATTAAACCGAAAGAAAAAACAAGATCTAGAAAACCGAGAATACTATTTAAATAAAATTTTTAGAAAATCTGGATTTTTATAGTTTAATAATAAGTTCTTTTCGTCTAAATCTCCTCGAAATGAAAAAAATCAAAGAAAAGAAATCTTTTGCTGTTATAAATATAATAGTAAATATTATTTAGCTAACCGATGCCTTTATAGAGATAAAAATAAAACCGAACTAAAATTAATAGAAAAAAAACAGTAGTTAAAAAAGTCTCTATATCTTTAATAAACTGGTCTAAAATAAAAACTGCTATTTGCTTTAATATATTTATTTGCTTCAGAAATATACTTAAAATCTATATAAACTTAGATTCGTGCGCTAAAATTAATCTTATTAGCTATTAATTTATTTAGTAATTTTATCTAAATACAGCCTGTTTTACAGTCCTACTGGTTGCTGTAATTAATCGCCTTACTATAAATATCTATAGTATATAGAAAATTTTTATTACCGCTACTAATTCGAGAAGAACTATATAATTATTTATAAAATATTATATAATTATTAATTATAATCCAGATCTTTCCAGAAGCCCTATTCTATTTTTAATAACTATTTTAAAAAATCTATATATTTACTTATCCGCATAAAATCAACAGTAATAGTATAAAACTTAAATATTAAAAATCTTATCTTTTTACAAATTTACAAAAGCTTGCTGAAATCTTATTTATATTTATATTATTATTAAACTTCCAGAGGATATCTGGCTACTAGAAGACGAAGTCTTCTTAAATTATTTATAAATTAAATCTAATAAGATTATATTATCTTCTAAGCTTTAAGATTTTATAGATATATTTTTTTTTAGTTATTTTTAATAATTTTCTTCTTACGGACCCTCGGACTATATTATTAATTTAAAAAATAACAAAATTCTACTGTATAGATCTATTTATTTTTTATCTTAAGTTAAGCTCTAATCCCTCTGTTATTATATTAATAAAAATATTTGATTAGAATAAATTTAATTTTTTAAAAGTCCTGCAGAAGCTTTTATTCTTTTTATATTAAAAAAGAATAAAGGTCTCCGATTATATATAGATTATAAAAAACTTAATAAAATTTTAGTTAAGAATTATTATTTTTTATTTCTAATTTTAGAAATTCTAAATAGAATTACAGGAGCCAAATATTTCTTTAAGCTAGATATTTAAAATATATATTACCGAATTTGCATTAAATAAAAAAATAAATAAAAAACAGTTTTTTAAACCCGCTATAAATACTTTAAATATTTAATTATATTCTTTAAATTAACCAACGCTCCGGTTATATTTTAAAACTATATCTATTTGGCTCTCTATAATATATTAGACGTTTTCTATATTACTTATTTAAATAATATTCTTATTTTTTTAAAGAACTACTTTTTTTATACTCTTTATCTATATTAAGTATTGGAATACTTACGAAAAACAGATCTTTATATTAAGCTATTAAAGTATACTTTCTACTAAGATTATATTAAATTTCTAAAATATATTATATTCTTATATGGTATATTAATAGATTCCCGACGGATATCTGATATTTTTATATAGCTAATACTAATTATATACTGTAAGATCTAAGTATTCTTAGGATTCTGTAATTTTTATTAGCGTTTTATTAAGAATTATTTTTTAATTATATTACTACTAACCTTTCTTTTAAAAAATACTCAGAATAGAAAGAAGCCTGGAAGAGTAGTATTAACTAGTAAAAAAATAGCAATATT